TGATTATGTAATGTGAAATTTTCTTTTATCTAATAATGCAAGCTTTTAATTTAAGGCCATGTGGCTATAAAACATTTTGTAAAAATTTCACTTTAAAAATATACTGTCTATGGTGATATCTGGGGGAAAACCCCTTGAAAAATTAAATAAAACATTGAGTTCAATGAGACAAAGATCAAAACATTTCAGTTTTTGCTATTTTACAGACCATTTTCTGCCAAGAATATAAGATCAAAATTTATCTGTGTGTCTAATTCTGGATTCACACCAAAAAAAAAAAACAACTTAAATGCCTCGCATGCCAAGGAAAATTTATAATGCGTCATCAGCTACCTTGCGTCCATGTTATTGTCCTTCCTTATAAGATCAGCATGCATCCGTGTATTACACATTAAATATCCATGTAAAAAAAACGGGCATGGTATAGGTCCGTAATATTTACAAATTTCACATGGATCTGTGCGTACGGTGCAGCTTACATATTTCACACTGTGTGTCATACACAGACTTCTATCCAGTGGTGGCATCGGCAGGGGGGGGAGGGAGAATTTTCCCACCAGTCAGACAGGCCTGGACCCTCCTGTCGTCCAAAGAACAACTAGGTCATCGTGCCAAAAATTAAAAAAAATAATAATTCGCCTATCCAAATATTGCTATTTTGATTGCCAATCCCTAATGTTATGGTCTAAAAGCACATTTAGGACCAAATTAAGCGATATGAACCTTAACAGGGATTTCTTCATTCCAGGCCGTCGACCGAGACTTCGTCGTCGCCTTGGTTTACGTCGGACCCCCCCTTGTCGTCCAATTTTCTGACGCCACCTCTGCTTCTAGCAAGAATCTTTAAATTCTGTACAGTTCTAGGGAATTGCGTGAGGGCACACACCCTGAAAAAGATTGAACCCTCCAGTCACTCGCCCCCCACCCCATCATGCTCAAGTACTGTAGCTACAAATCACTTGATATCACCTTATTTTCTGAGCCCCCTCACTTAATCATGGAGCTTCCCCAACTTCACCTTCGGTCGCCCAACCCCCATTTCTAAACTCTTTGATATGCTACTGGTAACTGTTCCTTTTAATTAACTTCCACATCAAAGTTACTAAAAAAAAAAGTTAATGTACTGAATTTTGAAATGAATACTGGGGAAGTATAGTGTATACATTTATAGAAGGTTGTTGGCACATGTGTGTCCTGCTTGTCAATAAACACAACATTTGTGCCCATTGATTTTGTCCGTGTCCTTGTCCTCGTTCCTTATTCATCATTTCTTTTTGTCATTCACCCACTCAATATCCGGTTGTTAATTATGTTTATTTTACAGTTTCATTTGGATTTTGATGACCAATGAAGATTTTAAATTAAATTATTATCTTTTTTTTTATAAAAGTGATCTTTTTTCCCTATTTTATTTCCCTTTAGTGTCCCTGAGAATGCTATGGAAACAGAAACTATGGAAGTTAATTGATAACAAGAAAGTGTTATCCATAAAACATTGAGACAGTATTCTTCTATGCATGCGGCTCAACGGCAATTTTGTTGCCGCCCGTAAACATCAAGTAAATTGCTTGCGGCCCTCATTGTTAAATCAAGAATTCCCTCCAATCCATCTTTATGCCCACCCCTGATATACATACAGTAGATACTTGTCTTCAATATGGTCCAGATTTGTTACTTAAATACTAGAATAGAAAACTAAAACAAAGAAAACAACATCATCCTCATCTTTCAGTACTGTTCGAATTTATACAGTATACTACGGAATTTATGAATATATCTACCTAAATAAACTTCTTTGTATTAATTAGATGTTATTGGCTGTTAATGTGCAATATTGTACTTACAATCAACTGAATTGAATGTTGTTTTTTTTTTTATTTGGTGAGTGCCTTTTTTTTTAGTTTATTTAGTGTAGGCATCAAGGTTTATATTATATTATTATATATTGCATATTTTTTAATGTTTTTTAGATTTTAATAATTTTTTTTAAGTCTTGGTCTTTTTTATGGTTACCATATTTAAACTTAAGGTTTTAAGCAGAGCTATGTTTTTACATTTTTTGTTCCAAATTTTATTGTATTTAAATCTTTCATTGTACATACTGAATTTGGATATATAGTTTTAATTTGTATATTCTAATATTTTAAGTGTTTTTATGTATTGTTTTTAACCTTGGAGAACCACTCGACAGTGCTTTGTTTCGGTTTTTGGTCATCCCGTCCGGTTTTTAACAATTGTTATTTTTTTCTGTCTATTCGTCTATATTTTCTCGTGTCCTCATTGTATGTTTTTCTAGTGACAAAGTAAATGAAATGAAATCTCTATATGAATTTTAGGAGCTATATAATATCAGAGCTTAGAACTGAAACCATAAATCGTGACAGAAGACAACATTGATGGTCCGGTACTCTATCAGTGTTATCTTTAAGGAAGGTGACTCAAGCTGATCTCATTACTTTCAGTCTCGTTGGATTTTTGTCTCTTCCCTTCAACCCACTCTGCAGTGAAAGTCGCACGTTGTTTACCGTATTCTCAGTTGAGAAGTGAAATAACTGAATTTTGAAGATAACCATTGATGAGAGTAATAAAATGAAAGCATAGTTAATTGTTTTGTGTGAAATAATAGAGTTTTAATATGTTTAAGACAAATATTAATGAAAAGAATAAAAAGATGGTGATGGTGGATATCACTGTTTTGGATGAAAAAACTAAAAACAAACAATGGTAGAAACAGTGTCTTAAGTGAAATAGCTGTTCCTTGAATGTAAAACATATTTATCATTTACATTGTGTGTCGTTGGACCTAAAAAATCTGAAAAATCAAAATATCGATTTAAGTTAGTGTTCAATCAGTATATTTTATTTATATATTTTTTTTAATAACAATTTTTAATCAGAAAATTTATTTGTAATTAAATTATTTTTTTTTCCTATTGCTAATTATCTTAGTGAGGCACCTGAGAAGAAAGATCCACTGACTGTACTTGTGCGCCATGAAGGTGGTGGTTCAAAGCGAAATGCTCTACTACGATGGTGTCAAAACAAAACACAAGGTTATACGGTATGTGCATACTATCCTCTTATCTTATATATTTTTATGTTGTAATTTTAAAAAATATACAATAATTGGTGGCCATCCCATTATGTTAAGTTTCATATGAAATAATTACTTTACCGTATTTATAATTTAAGAAAATTGCCCATACTATTAAAAAGCCTTGAAAATTAAAATAGTACTGTAATTTGGTATAATTCAATAATTTTTATTGGTCCAAAAATTGGTTTGGAAATTTGCTTTCCATTGGCACAATACAGTTGATAAGCAACAAAAAAAATTAGTATGTAACAGTAGTAGTAAAAACCATGGTTAAAATATTGACAGATGCACTAAAATAACTGTAATAACATGCACAATATATCAAGCTAAAAATCTAAATAAATAAAATATGTGAGTATATACAGTATACAATGTTAAGAAGGAAGTTTTGATTTATAAAAATAAATATAAAGGTTAAAATTGTTTTAATTTAAAATTCAGTTTAAAAATCCATTATGAATTTATTGTAAAAAAAACTTAATTGTACCATAGTGACGTGAGTTTCATAATGAGAATGGAACAATTCACTATTACAACTAAAATGTTGGTGAGAAAAGATTTTAATATGATGAATTGTTTCTTGCAAATAATTTCTCATGAAAATTTGATTTAAGGATTTAAAATTTTCAGTGATTAACTTAACCGGATGTACAGTACTTAGATGAGGAAAGCCTGCAGAATTTATGAATATATCTCAATTTTTAGAGAATCCTGCAATTAATGCATTGATTTAAAATGCAAATAAAAATACTGTATGTGCCCCATTTTTGGCGTGTGATGTTCTTGCAGGCAAATCTCCAAACAGCAGTGTCAGCCTTCTAGATTCATCAATGTCACCTAAAAGTGAGATTGATGTCAGTGAGATAATGAAATCAGTGATAATGAAATCAACTAGCAGTCAGTAACTGACAATAATTAAGAAACCATGAATACAGGAATGTATTATGTTGATTTAAGGAAATAGAGAAAGACCTACACTCATTCTGCCCTCCAGTGTCCTTTACCCTATACTCAAGATACAATTTTTTTCCCTGAGGATGACATAACTAATGTTGAAATATTGTATCCCAATACGATGCTATAAATTTCAATACTTGAAATATGTATTTATACTTATTTATCTAAGTTTGTTTCAAACGTAGAAATCTGAAATAAACCTCGAAAACATACCTAATTTTGTTTTATCTAACATAGTTCATTATTTTAAACAAACTCAACATTACTCAACATTCTTAACATTTTCAATATTTTTTTTCCAAAGATTTTATTAACCAAATGCTATTGGTATGTCATCGCAGTTATTTGGTTTTGTTTATGAATTTGGTTAGTTTTAAGATGACTGACCAAAATAGTGTGTCTAAGTAATGGTTTCAGTTTTTCCATTTAACAAATGTGTTTATTCAATCTAATTATTGAAACAAAAACAATATAAACTATTTTCCCTGATCTGTTAAAAGTAATGTTTGTGAAAAGTTAATGAAAAAAATTATAACATTGTATTACCCATTTAACTGATCAAATATTTATTAGCTGCCAAAAAGATTGCCAAAAATATATTTTATCATTCAAATTTTTAATTAAAGTTTTTTTTAATTTAAAATATTGAATGATAGGTTTGTTAGCTCTACACATATAGTATATAAAGTTATATATTTCCTGTTTATTAATATATTATTATTATTATTATAGTGTCTGATTTCTTTCAATCTTTCACAGAATATTGACATCACAAATTTTAGTAGTAGTTGGAATGATGGACTGGGATTCTGTGCATTAATACATAGCTACCTGCCCCATATGATACCCTTTAATGAACTGAACAATCAAGACCAGGTAAGTCTTAATATTAATTTTAAAATTAAAAAAATTTGTTTTGTTCTTATTTAATTGTACATAAGGAGATTTACTGTATGAATATTAACTACATATTGTACAATGTTATGATGATTGTCATCATCATCTTTAAAAAATATTAACAAATATCTTATTCATATACTTGTTACTTTTTTATTATACTTTCATAAGGTGCTAACTATCTCTAGATTTAAATCAATTATTCTACATTTTTACTTTGCTTGCAACAGTATTGAGGACTGTTATACAATAACTGCTCTGACTGTAAACTACTGTATTTATAACCACAGTCAGTAAAGCTATTGAAGTGAGCCACCTATTGTTGTATTTCTTTGTGATGAGTAATTATGTCAATGACAATGGGTTTTTTTTAAATTATTTCAGAGGAGGAATTTCACCCTAGCTTTTTTGGCAGCAGAAAGTGTTGGCATCTCCAGTATATTGGTAAGGGAATGCAAACAAAAATGTTATAACCTTAAATTCCGGTAAATTGCAAAAATCCATAGAAAATGAGCCTGTGGTCTTCTAGATCAAAAAGTAATCAATGTAGTTGTAGGAAGAATGCAGCTAATCTTTTGCTTTTTTAATTCAGTTTCATTCAATTATCTCACAATGTGGAACTCATTTTGCCATTTGACAATATCGCAACAAAAATATTTATATTTATAACATGAAGTAAAAGATTGAACATAAATATTAATGTTTTAGGAAATGCTTATGGTTTCTGTATTCCAGCTCTTCTTATTTCCTTATGAGGGATAGTGACATAAATTACCTCATCCCAAAATGTACAGTATCAATTGTTGAAAAACAATACTTCTTAAGAAATCTTAAATCAAAACTATTTCACTGTTTAAGGCCAAAGTTTATTCAGCATTTGATCCTCATTTTTTAAACAATTTGGCAAATATATCTGGTGGGAAAGGATAGGAGGTCTATCTTTGATGTACTTCTTAATTGTAACTCTTTCATTTCCTTGTATTTGTTTAGGATGTTGAGGATATGGTAAAGATGGAACGACCTGATTGGCAGTCTGTCATGACTTATATCACATCCATTTACACGCACTTTGAGACCTAGTGGGATTTGAGTAACAGAAAACAACTCTTGCCAGTGGATCCAATCTATGCTTCCATGAATACAGAACTCATAAATACTGTACATCGTGGCTATCATACACCACATTCATATAGTGCAACAGTTGTATATTTTTTTCCTTCAGAATGGAGAGACCATCACAATGCCAAATCAGCCGTAACAGTATTCTTTGTTTGAAATTGTCTGAATGAAAAGCTAGGAAAATCTTGTGCTCTCAGAAGTTTGAATTTGTACTAAAACTTCTGAAGAAGTACTGTACTATATTCTTATTATAGAACTGTATGTGCATTTGGAATGGTTGTAGGTATTTATGAGCATCTAATATATTAATCAGCAAGTAGGCCCATGCTAAGCATAATAGTAAATACAAATATAGTATCACTGTTTTTGTATTTAATATTAAGCATAATATTAAATTCAAAAATCATTGATATTTCTCACTATATTTATTCTTACACTATAATTTTATGCTGATAACCTGATTGTTGAGTTAAAATTGTAAATAAAATTAAAATACAAATACAGTATCACTGTTTTTGTATTTAATATTAAGCATAATATTAAATTCAAAAATCATTGATATTTCTCACTATATCGCTTCTTACACTGTAATTTTACGCTGATAACTTGATTGTTGAGTTAAAATTGTATCTAAATTAATTTGTCAAAAGCTTCCTGTATACATGTCAACTTAAATTTAAATTTCTTTTATCTTTATTAGTTAAACATTAATACAAACCAACAGCTAAAGTCTGATAATGTCTGCTTATAAAATAGTTAGGTTACAAAATTAACTAAACCCTTTACTGACCAAAACTCATAATCAAAATTCAACAAAATGTCAAGTGAATGTATATAAAAAATAAATAAATATGTAACAGAAAACATTTGAACAAATGATTGAAGTTTTAGTAATGATATGTAATATAAAATATGAGACTGGACCCTTGACAAGAAAATAGCTGTTAAGTATTATCTAATCTTTGTCAAAAGTTAGCTTAATTAAAATATGCTAATTGTAAATTAGCTTCATTTATTATATTTATTCTATATAGTTTACTTATAATAATGATATAAGCTCCACTGTATTGTAAATGTTATTCTAATAATATTATCAGTATAATAACTGTTAATTTGCTTAAACTTCCAAATAATTATCTTTCTCTATACCTTGAAAATGCCTACGGTTTGAAACTGCAATTTTGTGTTTGTGGCTGTTAGTTTTTAGCATGCTTCTTATTTATGTTTTGCAAATAAATTATTTTTATTGTTATATTATTTTTTGTACCTGTACACTTAATTATAAAAGTATTATGAATAACAATAGAAATGATGTTGTTCTCTGTAAAAGCTGATAGCTTCAAAAGTACTTATACTTATATCTTCAGTAATATCTCCAGTTTTATTTTATGTTCATGTCTTCCCCCTCCAAATATATTACAAAGAACTGACCGTTTTTTTTTCACACAAATTCTTTCATTGATTAACAGTACAAGCTTATTATTTCAACACTCTGTTTCAGTCTGTAATTGGATGTTTGTTTTAAAACTAATGTAAATTTATTTCCTAGAGCTTTCAAGTCGAGAAGATTCATTATATAAGCAATGTTTTAAAACAAGTCTTTCTTACTAGTAGTAAACTGTAGTTCATTTAATTATACATTTCATGTTGAATTAAGAAATTGAGTAACAATAAATGGAGTAAATTTAATGAATTATGAGTATTATATGAGTTATTTTAGATTTTAAAAGTGTGTCTGTTTACTGCTGTCTTACTAGTAGTTTAAAAAAATCATGAATATTTGTAGAATCATAAACTGGTTGACCTTGATTAAGACACAAGTAATGAAGGCTATGATTGGCTGACATTGACCAGCACATCAGCAACGAATACTCTGATTGGTTAGTGACAATTTCTAAACTTAAAGAACTCTTTTTATTAGTTATTATCTTTAGGAATAATAATAATCTTTTAACATTTATGAACAGTGCTATTTTGTAATATGCAATTTACATTTCACAGTACGGTGGTATACTTTACGAAAGAGTATGAAACTGCAAGAGGTCCGACTCTCATGGTTTCGATGGAACATAATCCTGTTTCAAAAAGTATTACCACGAAGGGGCATATGTCCTTCAAACGACGAGTTTCGAGCCAACTCTATTAGAATTTTAATGGGGTGCCCCTATTTCGTGGCAGCAGTACTTTTTAACATTTCATTGTGTGCATACAAAATTAGGGCAGTCGGACGGGACGTCTTGCAATTCTATACTTTGACTTTGGCCACTTTTGATCCATGGTACTATTTGCGATAGTGGTTTATTGTACTTTAGCAAGTATTACTTAAAATTGCATTTATTTTCCTGATTATCATGTATTGCTAATAATAAGCTCTGTTCTCATTTTCAAATTTTGTGTGACAAATATGTGCAAAATGCCCATATATGGGCATGATGATATCATATCACACCCATATATGGGCAAATCACAAGTGTTTGTCACATAGTGTAGATAGAGATTTAAATTTATCCAATTCTGATATTTACATGTGTACAGTATAATACTTTGCTTATACTGTATTACGTTGTTATAATGGAAATTTAATGATATGAAGCTTCAAAAGGTCTGTTTTGTTGATCAAATCCCTTGTCATATTTCAATAAGTAGGCCTAAGTCAAAATCTTGATTGATGATACAGGGTAAGACAATTGTAAATAAGAATAATATAACATTTTTTGATGTATATAACAGTCTTAGACTGGCGATCAATAGATATTATAAGGTATAACGTAGACCAAGGTATATAATGCAAATATAAATTTACCATTCCCTCTAAACTTGCCCTTTGCAGGGGCGGATCTAGAGATGTCCAAAAGTGGGGGCCAAAAGTTGGGCCGAACAACAATGTTCTAGGGGGTCCGGGGGCATTCCTCTGCGAAATTTTTGTGTTCTAGTTGCCCGAAAATAACATTTGAGGTGTTCTGGGCTATCATTTTTTTATTTTTCTTTCTTTTTAACCTCCCAAAAGGGGGCGGGGAGCTGGCCGGGGCCCCCACCCCCTAAACCTGCCCCTGCTATGGATATTGTTGCTAAGGACCCACAAAATGTCAGCATAAACATAATAAATTCCTGGCCCTATTCTCATTGGTCAGTTGATAGTTTGGTTGACATACAGAAAGGTCCATTATTCATGATAATTAAGTATCAATTATCAAACCTAATAGGTACCTGTACTAGGATTAGGTCCTATTTTATTAGTGGTCAGTGTGTCCATGTAATAGAAAGCAGTACTAATATGTGATCATCACTAAATCTCGTTTCACACTGTCAAATTTCATGTGAACAATTTGTGCGAAATGCTACAAATGCCCATAATGTGCATGATGCTGTATCATACTATATAAATTGAAAATTCTATTTGTTGTATTTCAAATGGATATTATATGCGATCATGAACATGAGATCACGTTGGTGAACAAACTACGGTAAATGCAATTATGTGACCAATTCCACAAGTGTTTCATTATATATTTGCTTTCATTTTTATTACTTTGGTTGATAGTCATGTAGTATTCATAATATTCTGATAAATACAGTGTTGTCTATGACAGTTATTACAGCATTTATCAATCATCATCTGTGCATAAAGAATGATCTTTGGTATCATTTCAAAAAACTTTCAATAAGTTAAGTAGACCTATTACTTTCCATTTTGTGGGAATGATTGCCAAGTAAATCACTGAGTAACTTCGCATAAAACTAACTTGGTACAGAAGGGTCCGTTGAGTCTTTCGTTGTCAAGGAATTGTTAAGACCACTTATGCAGACAAATACAAAATATAATATATTGATGCCTCTGAAGTAAGTAACCTTGGCGTAATTGGTTGATGATATATTTATTAAAGACTTGATGAAAACATTCATTTTGTATTTTTATGTATTTGATTTTGTAATTTGTTGTTCTGAGGACTTTGGTGGAGTCTTTAGGGAATGCTCGTGAAATCCTGAAACTTTAGACATTTATATTTCTTTTGCTGCTACAGATGGTGATCACCCGGATCCGCCATAGTCATGTGTTGTTCCGATGAAATAGTATCCAGTGGCGGATCCAGGAACTTGAAATAGATTAGGCCCAGAGAGGGATGTTCACAGATAGAGGGTCTATACTACCTCAGCCCCACCATGCTAAGGGCTGAGGTAAGAAAATTTATGATTATGGCACCTCTCGATGGCCGGAAATGTTGAAAAATTTAGGGGGGCCCAGGCCGGCTGCCAACTCCAGACGGCTATTACTAATATTACCAGAACTACATTTATTCATTTAAACAAGTGAACTTTCTGGGGCGGATGCAGGATTTGGCTGCAGGGGGTGCGTGAGAGTCCACACCACCTCAGCCTGACCATGGTTGGGACTGAGGTGAGAAAATTTTGATAGACACTTAGGAGGCCAGACTGAGACATTGCACTCTCATACAGTACTTCAAAAATCTTACTGGTACTATGTCCATAATGATATAAATTATATATCAACAATACAATCAACATGTTTCATAATACAGCTTAGTGGGGTGCACCCCCTCCCACCGCATCCGCCCCAGACTTTGTCCATATGACAAGGCAAACAAACCACCTTTAGCCTAGACAATATGTACTCACGTCTTAACATACCTATCTATCAACCTAACCTGACTTAAAAGACAACCTAAATATAGGCCAATCTGATTTTGATATGAAAGAGGATAGACTAAGTTAGAAATAAAGAAAGCCTATTATAATGTACACCAACAGCTCAACATTACAATTAGGATGAAAAACATACAAAAACGAATAAAACAGAGAGCACTTCCTTACGAAACAATGTTGTATTGACGAATATTGAAAAAGATTTTTAGAAATTATAGTGTAGGCTAGTACTTTTTAATAATTATTTTTTAATGTTAAAGCCCATTAGGTGTAGCATTTTTTAATGTTTTCATATATAATTGCGGGTATTTTTAAAAACGTTGAAGTTACCAACTGCAATGACAAGTTAGACCTAACTGTTAAGTCGTAAGTTTACCAACACGTGGTAAATGTTTTAGAACTCTGGTTCTCATTTGGCAGTCCGTGGGGAAAAAAATCATGAAAAAAATATTTAAAACATATTAAAAGTTTGATGAATACTTTTCAATAAGTAAGACAAAAAATGCAAATGTTGGAACTACTGTATACAGATAAAAATATAGTTACAGCGAAGATTATTACACCATTTTTTTCTTTTCCAAACATGTTGGCAGCACCCATCATTTCTTTAGGACAGAACGAGCAAACTCAATAGTAAAATCAACTTTCGTAATAGTAGTCATAACCGTCTGTCTACATAAACGCATTAACGCATTCGATCCAGTGTTAACGCTTGTTAATGCGCTATCGCTTGAACGCATTTTATTTTTTGTAAACAAAAAGCACATGGTGTGGCAGAGTTTCGTACACTTTGAGATTGTTTTTCTGTACCATCGTAATACTGTAAACGTAAAATATTTGCCATTCTGAAACCAAGAACATTGTGTATTGAGGCAATGAGTAAACAAGGCAAGAAATCAATTGATTAAAGTTAATATTAATATTATGAATATGTTGTAGGCTAGTAGGCCAGAGAGGTGGCTAAACACACACAGCCTAGGCATATGGCTGGGCTATTATGCACTAGAAACTTCTACATACACTACCTAGTACAGAGGCCTAGGCCTACAAAGGTTTTCCCAATGCCGTTTGATCATTGATACTTTTATTGGCCTTTGTCGCTTTTTATACAGCTCTGGGTCAATTTTACCTGTGTTTGAAAGTGCATATCCTGTTCCCTTGCCAAACCAAATTACAATTTACAATTGTCAGCTGTGTTTTTCTACGAAAACAATCATTTGCCACATAAATGCATGTCGGTTGATATAAACATTAATTTTTTTTTTTTTTTAATTTTTAATTTTATCTCCATACCAACTAAACTCTCAAAACGGCCTCCAAGTAGAAGTGACATCAAATATTATTACTGGTGTAACATGCACAAAAAATATGAAATGAAATAAATATCATTACTATGATGATTGAACAACTTTATTGTTTCATTAGGTTATATTTTGGTTTTATTTAAAAGGAAATTCAAATCAGGTATGGACAGATCTTTTTTTTTTGTTTTTTTGGTGTAAACACCAAAGATAACCCACAAAAGTGTGAAAATTATTTATTCCCAGTGGTCCTTCTGTGTGATTGGGCAGTACACCGGTGGACAATCCCCTTTTTTCCAAATAGTGTACTGCATTCTTTAACATGCACACGGGCCATAATGCACACAGGACCAACCGCTTAAACATCTCATCCGAAAGATGGTGCACTATCGTAACTTGCATTTCAGCCCTCCAGCTGAAACACAAGGAGAGCAGCGATGGGCATTGAACTGAGGACCTTGAGATCTCCACGGTTCAGTGCACAAACAGTGGCTGCCACCAGTTTAGCTAAGCTGCAAATATATTTGTTATGATTAGATTACTGGAATATTATACTACTGTACAATTTTCATTATTTGTTATTAACATTCAGGTTCACTGTAGTGTATAAGTCAACATGGCAAGTAAAGCCACACAAGATATATGTGATAAAAAAAGTAAAGAAGCAGCTAAAAGGTTGAGACTGAAAGGAAATGCTTACTATCAGAAGAGACAACTCAACCAGGCTTTGAGTGAATATAATCAGGTAAAATTATGATGAATGGTTTGTGATGTATAAAACTGGACACTTTAAATATATATTGTCTTTGTTAGGCTAATATTCTTGAACAATCGTTAGTTGAAAAATTTCAAAAGAACATTTTCTTCACCAAATTACAGATTTATGAATAATAGCATTTCTATTTTCATATTCCATATTTTATTTATATATATATGTAAATTGTTACCTTATAATTGAAAATAAGAGTAAGAAAATATTTTCTTACAGTAATACTCTTCTTTAGAATACTATCTGCATAGAACCCTTTAATAATTAGAAATTGAGGATTTTTGTATTTTTTTATAGTTTTGTGCAAATTTGAATTTCATTTCCACAGGGAATCCTGTTGGCACCTCATGATGATGCTGATGGTTCTGAAGAGCTGGCTCTGGCCTTTGCGAATCGTTCAGCCGTATTTTACCAAACCAGTGATTGGAAGGTACAGTATAGTAAATCTCTTGCTCTCCATTTTTATTACAGTCTTTCTCCCTGTGTTATGGAGGTTGGTGCTAGGCTATTTATAAATCCAATTAAATCCAATGACTATTAGGGTAATAATTATTTGTGCCTCAGAATATAACTATGTCAATACTAGCTTCCATTTCACATCCGTCCATCTAAGTCCTTTATGCAATCTGATTCACTTCTTAAAACTTGCTTGTTTCAATAGATTGTTGGTTGTGTGTATCAATACTTGTTACATAACTAGATAATGTATTATGATGATAATGGTGATGATGATGTTGATGATGTTTTTGATGGTGACAGTTATGATGTTGATGGAGGTCACAATGATGATGGTGGTGACCAGGAGCGGCTCTAGGAATTCCCTGACAAGGGGCCCAAGCTCCCCGACAAGAAGTCCATACCCCCATCAGGGAAGCCTAGAATCCTCCCCCCACCCACCCCATCAGGGAAAAAATTGTGTTGATTATGGCATTCTTTATTTAAAAAGGATAATTTGATAGAAAACAGTTTTTAATCCCTAAAATTTGACAGGTAAGTAAGGCATACCTAAATTGTACTTTTGGCAGTCGAAATTTCATTTTTCCCGACTACCTTGCCGGAAAAAAAATCCCCAAGGGGGGGTCCTTTGCTCTCCTAGAGCCCCCGCGAGCACCGCCTCTGGTGGGGACGAAGATGATGATGGTGGTTGTGGTAAAGATGATGATATTGATGATATATGTGGTGATGTTAATAATGATGAAAGAGGCCATTGTTGACATATAAATCACCTTTGTGTTTACTACTATAATGTTGGGCTACATACTGATGATCGTATCTAGGGTTGCTTGCGAGATATACAGCAAGCAATGAATCACCAATATCCTGCTCATAACCAATACAAATTACATAGAAGGAAAACGCAATGCTTGATTCAGCTACAAAGATTTCAAGAAGCCGCTGAGGGTGAGTTATAAAATTACAGGTTTTAGTATGTCAATCTTCATTAATTTAAGCAATACCCAGTCAACGTAGAGAAAGCCTTCCTATGATCCTAAAATACAGTATTATATTATGCAGAACACTGACCTGATTAACATTTTAAATAGATGATACAGCCCTTAGTTTGGTTTATGCTTAAGTTTCATGCTCAGTAAATGTGATTTCAGAGAGTCAGTATGAGATGCCAATTAGATTGATGATGTCAAATACTAGTAATTGAGACTGTTGCTTTGCTGCAAGTTACAATACACTTTTATTTGCAGTTAATGATCCCGGTTTTTTATTTAATCTTGTAGCGCTTCAAGTTGCAAAATCTGAGGTAGAAAATAATACAAATTTACTACAAGAAGAAAAAGGTACTGTAAATGCTATACAGTAATTCATCATCTAACTCTGATGTGATGCAGATATCCATTTTAAATACCCATTTAAATTATCCAGATACTATGAAAGGAGCCCTTGAATATTATTTAATGCAAGTTGCCATTATAGAGAACCTCTCATCTACTGTATCTATAATGGCAGATCATAGGTATTTGGTTAGTGTACATGGATGAAACATTTTGATTTCCATCAAAGCTTTATTACACTTTTTTTTAAAGCTACAGTATATATTCAGGCCCTGGAATTGGAAAGAATGCATCTTCACACACCAAGCTACATCTCAACCACATGACTGAAACTATGGTTTTTAAACATTAGACCGACCAGCCCTCCTTAAACTAACGTTAGAATACTGCACTTTCGGTGGTAAAGAACAAATAAAACCTCATAAAAAAGGCAACTAATCCATTTACCTATAATTGAATCCAAGGACACCAGTGTTAAACACTCAGTACTTATCCTTGATAATGTGTTAATCCAATTAATATAGTGAGATAACGTAACGTTAGTTTATCGAGGGCGGGTTGAGCTAATGATGTACTGACATGATATACTTTTTATATTCCTCAGATAATGTAGATAAGGAACTTCAGAAGTTATTTGGAAAGTTGAATCTAAAGTAGGTTTTTATATTATGTTCCATCTCACTATCACCTTTACTTGTCCTGTCTGTGCAAGTAGTCTCATGAATCTCAGCATTTTCTCTACATCCATCTTTGAAGTTCCAAGAATTGATTTCACTGTATATTGTCTGCAATTTTGCAATAGACATAGGCTACTGAAATGTACATGCTTGGTATAATGATTAAGAATATAATTTCAAATAAATAATTGAAGGTTCAGAAACAGCAGAGATTCATGCAAAATGAAACTGTGTTAATTAACTCGTAACATAAATTAAGTCAGCATTGCTGTTTAAAGTACCACCAAGCCAAATAAAGAAAAAGACGAATGGTTCCTCAAATACATTTTGAAAACATTAAAGAATTAATACAAAATATTGTGTTCTTAACAGACAAAAAGTAGCTGTAGAGAGCGAATGTCGTACGCAGGATAAATATGACTTTGTTGAGTCTAATAAGATATACTCTGCGTCAAGTGATGTCGCCCTCAAGTACAGTACAAGCAAAGGTAGACATCTTGTAGTAAGTGAAGTTGAAAACATTTCTAATAATATATGACACAAAAGAATGACGGTGAAGGTGATAGTAATGATGATAGTACAGTAGCTGTTGTTTATGGTGATCAATGTTAATATATTTACCTTGTATCTATTTTATGCTTAAGGCGACATTTTTTATACCTTGTTTCGCGAACCTGCTGCCCTCCAATATTGATGATTTTGGATAAAAATATAATTTTATTTTTGGCCAATTAGCACACCGCGCCGCCACGAAAAACTGGAAATTTCTTTAAAAAATAAAAGTTTTTCTTTATTGTTATTACACCCGCTACTGCCTTGAAGTCTCCAAAAATGAGATATGTATATTTCTTCCAAATTATATAAATTCAAAGCATTTAACCATCCTATTACTACACTGTTTACATTCAACAATGAAATATTATTTTTATTTTCTCCTCTATCTGGATTTTTTTGGAAAACTGTTTGCTAAATAAGAAAAATAAATTTTAGCACAATGACCGTTTGATGATGTTATACTATCATATCATTTTTCTCTTACAGTTGTTCCTAACAAATTCACTATTTGTCTTTAATATATTTTTCTACTCACTAGGTTGAGATGCAGATCCCAGCAGGTAGTACTGTCATCAAAGAGAAGCCATTTGCAGGTGTTCTGCTACCTAGTTGTCACATGACCCACTGTCACCAATGCTTTGCTGAAACAAAAGCTCCAATCCCGTAAAAACATTATTCTTTTCAAGAAATTTGACAAAACAGTAATTTGAAAGCTATATGTTAGGTTATCTTCTTATCCATTATTTAATTTGTGTATTGTAATATAATATAAATATTAAGTAACATTTATATAGTATATAATATGTATATACATATTTTACATGCTATTTATGTATTATGAGTATTTCATTTTCATCAGGTGTCCATTATGTACTAAGGTCAGATATTGCAGTGATATATGTCAACAGAGGGCAATGACCTCATACCATTGGGCTGAGTGTCCCTATTGGAACTTGCTTCAACATGTAAGTACATAAATTCAGGAAACACTATATAGTATATCATTAAATCATTATCAACTTCCAATGAGATTGAAATCAAAGGAATTCAGACAAATTTCTTATTTTTTTCCTTTGTAAATATCTGTAAACCTATTGGCATTATACAGTACTTCAACTTAAGATTCTTTTGTTTTATTTGCAGGTAGGAACATTTGCACATTTAAGTTTCAGAATCCTTCTAGTTGCTGGGCTCGAGAATATTAAAGAACAGTTGAAAAATGATAGCGATCTCTCCAGAGAGACTAGCAACTTAATTCCTGGGTGCTCAAGTGATAATCATTACCTGAGCAACTACAAAGCCGTATGGAATCTAATGACCAATGCAGATATGCATTCACCAGAAATTCTTAAAAAATTTCAGAAGGTATAATAAATATAGATGATTTAATAGTTAAAAAACGAATTTATAACTAGTTAAGTTTTGACCTACAATTTATCTAATATGGCAGTGTGGCACTCACATTACTATCAATGCCAGTTCACTAACTTTATTTTATTCTCTTTCACCTTCAGCTTTCCACTGAAATTATAGAAAATACAATTGATCACCTGATGAGCTCCGAAACATGGATATCACACAATTCCACATCAATAAAGATGTTAGACCAATCACATGATCAAGAAAGACAGTACCTGATTGGTCAACTTGGGAAGGCTCTGTATCGTCATCTTTTGCAATTACATTGCAATGCGCATGCCGTTACATCTGTTGATCCATCAGACAGTGGAGGTGCAGTTGTGGGACGCAGTGTTGTAGATGTTGAGCAGAAGAGGATAGCAACAGCAGTGTTCCCAACAATATCTTTGTTAAATCATTCTTGTAATCCTAATGTAATTGTAAGGTATGTGTACTCAATGGGGTTATATGATAGATTCAGGTTTTTCTTATTGTTTTACAGAGTTGACGACTGTGCTGAATACCTTTACTTTATACCTTTATATCCAAAGGTAAAGGTATTCAACTTATCTTTACATTTTATTTTTATATTTAAAGTTTTTTCCTCCATCAGGTTTATTATTATTTGTATTTATTGATAAAGGTATTATTGTTCAATTAAATCCAGGTATGTATTTACAAAACAGGCAGTTATTATCACCAATGTCATTATTGCTGTTGTAATATCTTAATTATAATTTATTGTATGTGTTTAGTTTTAAGGATGATGAAATAATTGTGAGGACAACCAGAACAATAGGAACAGAAGAGGAACTTCTTCATTGTTATGGTAAGTATTGTATAATGATAACCAATTTCTAAATTTCGAATATTAATTTTAAAGAACTACTCAGAACAATTCAGTCTCATCAAGGATTTTGGTAATATAATAAGAATATTTGTGTGTTTTCTTAATATAATTCCCTGAGCACAAATATATTTAATTGTCTTGATCGCAGTCAGTAAACATGTATTATCATCTTTCTGACTTTCCATCTTAGGCCCTCATTACAAACACATGGAAAAGAAGGTGAGACAAGAAGCATTGATGAACCAATATAATTTTAAATGTAGTTGCATTGCATGTATGAATGAAGGAGATATGATGAGCAATGATGAAGGCAACATCTTTGAAGCCTATCGGTGTGTTAAGTGCTCCCAGCCTGTTTTTGACAAAGGTGGAGGTGATGTTGCATCATGCTCAGGTGAAACCTGCCAAGAAAAACTGAATTTGAAAAAAGCAAAAAAGGTAGAGTACAGTATCGAATACGTTAATGCCTAAAAATATTTTGGTTAAGACATACTAGAATATCGGAGGAAAATGAAAACAACTGAAGTATTATTAATACTATTTAACAAGATTGGAACTGGCAGTGATCGATACAGTGGTTAATGTTTGAACCTTCAATCATGACTTTTAGATCACAATATTTAGGGGAACAGTGGTCAATGCTTATCTAATTCACCCTTCCGCTTCCCTCCCACCACTGTCTTAGGGACCAGAGCATTCCGATTCTATCCACCAGGGTAAAGTGCATTGTGACATAAACAGAAAAAGGGCACTATATAAATGACCATTAAATAAATACATTAGAATGGCAAACAGAAATGCTGTGATAATGTGATATTTCAACTTATATGTGAAGTGAGTGCGATCATGGTGCACATTCCCACCCCCAATCACTCCCAAATTAGACAATAGTATTTGTAAATTCACCTGTTTTCCAAATTTTTAGAATCAACTCGAGTCTGTATCTTTGTTTTCCATGGCAACTAAACTGTTGGAAGAGAGTAAAATTCAAGGTGAGGGTCAAGAAGAGGTCATTTTATTGTAAATCAAACATGTTATGTTGTTATTGATTTGAATTACAGCATTGTTATATCTTGCATATGGTCTAATCTTATAGATTTTTAAACATATTTTGATGTTATTTATAATCTCTAAGGCATTACTTTTATTACTAAACAAAATGTAGACAAGAATATAAAATTACCTGTATTGATCACAGTATTGGTACCTAATACTCTTTTCACATGGACACTATTTTGCAAATTGAAACAACTAAAAAACAAGTAGTTACCAGCGGGTCGTCAATTACCCATGTAACTTTCCATCTTGGAAGAAAACACTCCCTTTTTAGATGTCGCAACTCATTCACTGCATATGTAGTGTATAGAGATCCAATCATCATGTTCTATTTAATTTATCTTTCAGACAGCTTGGAAGTACTGATGCAATGTTGTAATATGCAATCCAGGATACTGTATAAGTATAACAGAAGTTTATCAGAAACACAAGATTGCTTAGCAAGATGTTATGCCATGTTAGGTACAAAAACCTAGAGGGTGGATTGCTGAAAGCTGCCTATTGATGGGTTAATCGCAAAACCAGCTAATAATCATTGGTCTATAATCATAGAACCTGATTGCTATACCATTTCGCCAGCTTAAAATGGACCTTTCTGCAAAGCGCCTCACCACCCCCACCCCCCACCACCAACCGTTCTTAAAATCCCACAAAAATATAGCATAAACGTATGTATTTGTGGGACATGTGTGATTGTGCGACAAGCGCATATTTTTAGCGTTCTGATTGGTCAGTTGTTTGATTGACAACATGACCTCTGCATTAAATTGGGATATTGCTGTGGGACTGGTGTCCAATAATTTGACCCTGAGAATGGAAGGAAGCATTTTAACCACCAAGCCACCTAGACCTACATCAACATTCACATATTCATTTTTAATATCCTGTTTTGTTTCATTAGGTGATTTTGGTTCAGCCAGTAAATATCTTCAGCAAAGCATATCAACTGTTGAGAAAAGGTTTGGATCTGATAGCATTGAGTTTGCCAATGAACTACACAAATTAGCTCAAGTACAATTTAATATGTAAGTATGAATGTAATAGTTTTAATCATGATTACTTACAAAAATAATTAAAAAAATAAAAATAAACTAGATTTGAACTCGTCACTGAGGACGAGTTTGGTGATCCGCCGTACTTTGACCCTCACGAAGCACGCGCAGTGCTGATCGAAAATTTTTATATGCTAAAACATGCTCTATTTAGTTTTTAAAAAGAGAAATTTTGAGCATTTTAATGACTTACGAATGCGTACACATACGTCTTAACGTCCGTGCGCACGGTAATGATATTAATAGTGTCACAAACCCAAAATATGTAACCGAAACGTAATTTCCAGCTTCAGTACGTGCCGTGGGTGTGAAAATGAGCGTACGGCGCGTAAATTATGGAAAGTTTTGGAATACTGAAAATGACCTGAAACGTGCTTTAAATTATCTGAAAAGTGATATTAACAATTTAAAAATTTTAACGCACAAGTACCTTATACAACGTGCCCGAGGACGGTAATGGCACATGAATTTAAACCTTGTCAAGTTCAATTTAAAACCCCCTGTTGGTTGGTAATGCCACACAATTTTTCCCTTTACAGTATACGAACAATCGGTCTGATAGCGTCGAAATACAGTCTGCCGCCCTCTATTTTAAAATTGTTTACATCTTTTAAGAAAGATGAGAAGGCTAAAAAAAAACATCCTTTTTTACCATGATGACGTCATCAAAATGAAAAATAAAGGGACACTTCTGAAAGAGAATTGTCTCAGCTATAACATACTCACAGGTGGAAGACCGATCAAGAATAAATAAGTTGAAAAATAATGACATCATAAATAAAATTTCAGTTTAAAAAAAAAAATTAAATAGCAATATGATGACGTCACAATGTCCGATCAGCCATAATGATCTATAAAATCATATCTACAATTCATGTGCTTTCAGAATATTTAATAAAAATTAGAGGTTACCTTTCATCCTAAGGAGCTATAACTGATTATAAGTAGGCATAATTTTAAGTATACATAATTGTTGACGCACGCGTACACGCACGTTAAGTCGCGCGAACGGAAAATTAAGGTACCAGACATTCAACCTTGACCTGAAGATTATGCTCACTTAATATGATTCAGAAATGACGAATGGTTAAGATGATATGGGCTCATCAACGTTTTGAGGAAAGTAAGATGTGGGGGGTCAGAAAAAAACAATTTTTTTTACCATGATGACGTCATCAAAATGTAAAAAGAAGTCAAACATATGAAAGAGAATTATCTCAGCTATAACATACTCAAAGTTTGAAGACGATCGATCCAGGATAAGCAAGATACGCTCAAATGCGTATTTTCAAAAATGACGTCATAGCTATAATTCACTTTCTTTGAATTCAGACGCCAGTATGACGACGTCACAATGTCCGATCAGCCATTATGATCTATAAAATCATATTTACAACTTATGTGCTTTCAGAATATGTAATAAAAATTGGGGGCCACCTTTCATCCTAAGGAGCTATAACTGATTAAAAATAGGCCTGATTTTAGCATATTTTCACTGTATATCGGCACAAATCCGCGCAGATACCTATATTTGATGCGCACGTATTGCCATTGGCCATAAGATGACCAAAAAGAATGGAAATTTGTGAAAACAATGTCAGGAACCCAAACGTCTAGCTTCTGTACGTGCTGCGCGCGTAAAAATGCACGCGCGTAGTGGAAAATTTTTAAAAATTTTGAAATGCTCAAAATCGCCTGAAACGTGCTCTAATTTAGTCAAAAAGTGATTTTGAGCATTTTAAAAATTTGACGTACGCGCGCGTAATGAAGCGCACGCGTAAAATTAAGGTACAGTACATTCAACATTAACCCGAAGTTAATGCTCACTTAATACGATTTCGAAATGGCAATTGGTTAGGCTGATATGATCGATAATGTAAAAACACAAAATTGCGCGTAGATGACATCACGCATGACTGAGCGCGTTGAAAAGCGTACCATGACTATTCCAGACCAAGCCAAATGTTCGTTGACAGCGATTGTGCGTAACTCGTGGCATTTTTTGAGATATCATGCGAACAGAAAAGGGGAGAAAGAAAGAAGAATAAGAAAAAAAGAAGAGAGTACAATAACAAGAGATGATCCGCTCGAGAAGCGGATCACCAAATAATACGGGGTGTTGTAAGCAGAATATGTTTTACAATCCCGGGAATAAACTAAATTGGCACCACAGTTGTGCACACTGTAAATTCTGACAGTGAATCAACAGGCTACACACAATACATCACACCAACCACAGCATAAGGAGTACAGGATGTTGAAATTTACAACAGGCATAAAAAGATTGGTCAGTACAGTATTAAACATTTTGTTCTTTTCAGGCAAGATGTTGAAGGAGCAATAATCACAATCAACAAATGTTTACCTCTCCTCACTTGTTACTATGGCAACTCTCATGATACAGTGAAGGAATTAATACAAATGAAAGAAGTTTTAAAATGTTACAAAAAATAATGGAATAAACAGTTTTAGAAAATAATTTTTCAAAAGAATAAAAAACACTTGGAAAGTTTTTTTCTAATACATATTTATTTGAAATCTTATTTATATGACGTTGAGGACAGGCTCTGTGTTAAAGTGAATCAAATGAAAGTTTACACATGCTGTATTAACAAAACTGTTAACAATTTATATTTACAAATTGTTTCAGATTACAACAAATGTCATTCAATCTTTATTCCCTTTTTGGTCAAGAGAAATCAACGCTTAAATAATGTGACGAAATATTGCTTATACCAATTTCCTTTTCTGTAAATGTTTACCTCCGAACTAAATCAACCATAGGACAAACTGGTCTTAATTTCCAATCAGAAATTGTTTATCAATTAAACAACATTCAATTAATTGCAAAAAAGGAAATTAATGACAATTTATTATGTTACACAAGAAAAAAATGAATTTGACAACTAGAACTAAAAATAAGCTACAGTATATATCGGTTATGCCATTCCTTTAGAAGTTCGTATTTTTAAAAAATAATATAATTTAACATATTGCTTTATAAATTTCATATAAACATGTACTTTTATTATAATTTCCTAAAAATAATGTTACAATAATTGAAATTTCAAACATAAAATATTTATCTAATTTGGTAACCATGTAGTAAGTTAATTTACTGAAACCAAGTATGAATTTTTAATAATACTTCATCCAACACAAATACTGTAATATGATATGAGACTACCACCATTTATGTTAGAGAAATAACAGTACTTGTGCTTAAAGATGTACTGTACTTTCTATTATAAAATATGGAAAGACCCTCAAGCATTCTAGTAAAACTTTACTTAATTTACACAAAAAGGGTATTTTTATCCATTTGTTAATTGGCAAAAAAAAATATTTTCTTGTTCTATTTTAATAGTTAATAACTTAAATATACAAACCAATGCTAATAAAGAATTATATTCTTCACTTATATTAGCTGAACAGACAGTTCCCATGTTATAAATCTACCATAATTTCTATTGTATATATTCCCAAAGAGTTTCTGTAATGTTTAACCTTTTGTTGCCAAATATATTTTTCCAAATTAATAAATATTTTCTAGTCTAATGGTTTTTGATTTCAAGCCTTTCCTGCTACAGGGTGTCATTGTGATGCTGAATAAATATCAATTATAGAGTAAGGCGTGGCATAGACAGGCTCAGTGTTCTGTGTTTTACAGTTTACAGTGTGACTGTAGGACCCTCCATGGTAGGATGTAGAACGTAATGACATTACTAAAAGTCATCTGCGCATGCGAGGATGTTAAAGTCACCTCGTCGAGTAGATTCTGGAACGCAATTTGGCCAAATCTATGTATGCAGAGATCGTAGGATGCCAGGTAGGACGGTCACGCATGAGTGATTCCGTTCTAGCGTTGCATCGTCGCACAAATCGAAAGCTCCCTACTACGGGATAAGCACAGACAGGGTCAAGGGTCAAGTATTGTAAATGTTGTGTTGGAAAAATGTGTTAATATAATAACACCTAACAATTTGAATACAACAAAACACTAACAAAGAAACTTTAATAACACCAATAAGAATAGTACCATAATAATTATACAGTACTAATAATATGAACACAAATATAATGAAATTGTTTTGTACATACAGTATTACTTACTGAAAATGTAGCTTTTCGTATTCACACACGCTTAACAAAAATATTGTGTATAATTTTATTTTAATGTCATAAATTGGCCTGATTAAACATGGGCAAGACATATCAGGATTTTCCAAATGACACTTTATATATTCTTTGGCTGCTCTTGTGCAATTCCTAAGCTGCATTAACCAAATTATTTTTTTTTTTCGTTTGCACACTTTATAAATTAAATAAGAAATAAGAAACCTCTGAAAGGATAATACATTATACATTGATATAAACAACAAAATATATACTAGAAACATAACATTTTTTTTTTCTTAAAGGGCGATGACAGAATACATGATGTTGGTTATCTAAATAAATGAATATTGCTAAAGGAAAATTAATATAATTCAATTAGAATTTTGTGTGGAATGTCATTTTGATTACCTTAAAGTATTATTGATGTTTTTTTTTTAATTTAGAAACTCTTGAAAATTTTTGAAGAAAAAACAGATCCTATTGGTACTGAATATACTAAAATTGATAAAAACTGAAACGAAATAGGAAATAAACATATTGACTATTAATTACACATTAATATATAATATTTCATCTACAATATTTTGTTTTCTAGCCAAGGCTTGATAATACAGGCTGCTCAACAAGTAAAAAAATACCTTGTTAGATCATTAAATCTTAAATTAGATACCAGTAGCTGACAATAAGTACATACACCCAAAATGTCAAAACGGGGCCATTATAACATTCACTATGTGAAAAGTCATCTTAATGTAAAGTTGTTAACTGTACACCAATGACTGGGGATACTGGATGTATTGTGGGGTTAGGAGGGATTGGGTGTGGCACAATGGCAAAACTGCCTGCACGATCAAATATTATATAAAATATACATTTGATTTGCTTATATTGTATATGGGTTAAGTGGGCATCTTTTTGCCCATTTTGGGCATAAAATACTGGATAGTGTGGACAAAGCTTTGACCTTTCAATTAAAATGTTGCTGAGACTGGTCTAGTGTCCTTGATCAGAGCACTAAAATACCCTTTTTATACTGCAAGCAAAATTCCAGACATAACCCGGGATTTTCCAATACCCGGGTTAAATCTCCCGAGTTGTGGTTGTAAATGGCAAAAAATACAACCTGGGTTGCCAAACAGCCCGGGATCGATGTGCAGGACGCATTCAGCGTTGGACAACCCGGGTGCATTCCAGAACCGCTAGGCTAGGCCTAGACACTTTTCAAATTAAACCTCCTAGCAGTGTAAAAGGGGTATAAGTCTTGCTTCATAAATGGTAGGATATTTGGAATTTGGTGCTAAATTTAGCCTGGTTTCTATGAAAATAGCTACACTGTGGTTTTAGCAATTGCTACACTAAGAAGAACATTTCCCACCCGAACGAAAGCCCTCTAAGGTAGGCCAAACAGGAGTTTTATCTCCAGCAAGTTGTTCTCTTTTTCTAGGCCTAATAGTCACAGATGTCGTGCGTTTCCATGCCATCGCCGTGTAGCGATTTTATGGAAACCAGGCTTTAGCTGCACTGCTTAGTGGCGAGTCCAGAAATTAGTGGACAAGGGTTCTGAAGCAAGGGACCATGTAGGACCTCCGGTCAGGGTCCCAGAATAAAAGCCTTAGTGCAAGTGAGTTCTCTCTCTGATCCCATCTGGCTCCTCTTCCGGCACTACTAGGACTCCAGAGAAGGTACAAGGTTTTTAATGTATCTAGAAGAACAGTGGTGATAATTGTGCGCTTTAATGTAGATCAAATAGCGCTATATATTAGAGTAAAGTATTATATATTATTGGAAAGAAATCTGTTAGGGTAAGGGAAAATCTTCAGGGTGTGGAGTACTTTCTAAAATATTGACACTCTCAAATTTAAGGCTTGCTTTCCATAAAAACAATTTCTTTGGCCCTTTTCATCATTTATTACATATATTGATTTCATTCTATTTTAAATTATTTTTACTTAGATATTTTTTTGTTTCGCTGGTAAGAATCTTCACTGGAGTTATAGCCAACTGCAAATCTCATCTGCTACAGGAAACATATGCACAATGCTTAAAAATGTCTGCAGATGGCAAAAAATTAAAGTTATGGTCCCAAATGGGAACTGGAAATCAACACTGTAATACTTTTTCCATCAGCTATCGTACAAGCCACATAATGACTTTAATATAAAGTCAAATTTATTAAGTCAAAAAATAACAATTTTTTCCTATAAATGAAAAAAATATTCATATACCAATCAGAATTGCTGTTAGGCAAAATTCAGACATACTCTCAACATCTCCTGGCTTAGCCATTGGGAGTAAAAACAATTCTTAAATTATTTAAAATTTGTTTTATTATTTATCATGCTTTTGGTTTTCATAAGAATCCATATTTCTTGGATATAAATCCAGTTTTGACTATAATTGAGAAATTTTCATAAATCTTGTGTTGGTTTTACTTCATTTCATATTGAGAATGGATTATCATGATACACCATCTGCCAGTTGTAATACCTGTTTTTCATCAGATAACCACTTGCCTGTTGTTAAAAGTGGTTTTTGATTGGCTAACCATTGGCTGTTGTAATGGCTGTTTTTGATTGGCTAACCTTAAATAAGGAATTCATATTTCCTAGTTTATCATTACAGGCCTGACACACACGTTCTTTCTTGAAAAGTTGCTCCTCTGGAATGGGTGCATAGTAATTACTACATGATCCACAGAATATCTTTCCACACGCTCTAAAAAAAAGAATTAAAAATAATTACGGGTTTAAAAACAGAACATTTTGAAAATTAAAACCATATAAATATGGATTAAACCAGGTATTCAAAAAAAAAAAAAAAATTGTAGACTTATATAATACTGTATGTTAATCTATATTCTACAATGAGTATAGACATTTTAATTTGAAACCTAATCTTTATTTTCTGTTTTATCTGGCAATTATTGCATTACAATTACTTTTTTTATACTTTTTTTCTTTTCAACTAAATACATATATATTGGTTCAAACTCAAGTAATTTAGTTCTTTAATGCTTAGTAGTGCTGTTTGCATCAGTGTTTTCAAAATGCTCCACTGTGAACCAATCTTTGACCATTATAAAGACAGTATTTTACTTCCTGCATCACTGCAGTCAATCCTATTATATCAACTACATCAAAAATTCATATCGTTCTTCAGTGTCAAGCAAAAACATCACATTGGGAATACGGGGTTAAGTTAAATTTGACTAACTTTGGTGGCACCCCCATGCTAGTCCTCGTGATATTGATAGCTTTTGTCATACCGGCAATGATGTTTGCGGTTCCAAAGTTGGAACTTAGCCTGACATCCTGTGCACTCAGTAGCAGCGTGATCCGGTACCCAAAGAACCGGCATGCCATCTTTTTCATCTATCTCTTCCCACGAGACATCCGATTTGATGGAATCACAGCGTGAGGTGTTTGCGTGAGCCTCTTCACTAGAGAATTCAGGCTGAAAGTGAAAAGTAAATGGATCTTATCTCACACACAAATACATCAGTGGATGGAATTGAACTGGGTACCAAAGGTTAACAGATCTCCATAGTTTTGATTTGAGTGATACACACCTAGGATGATCCACTAAAGTCCTAAGACTTATTTCCAGTGGGGTCTAAAGAAGTACGAGAATAACTCAATAAGATGTGATTTATGAAGAGTTAAGCTGTTAGTACTGATTTTTAAATATAAGATACCTTTAGCAATTATTCAAATTCAATATATTATTTTAAATATATTGCACTGTCGCTAAAATGTTAAAACTGAGTAACCGCAGAGAGACGCCGCAACCTACAGCCATAATATCGACGCTGGTTCTAACTGCACACTCGCCTATGGTTCTGGAGGTGGAACAAGTCTTCTCGGATAAGGACTATAAACCGTAGGCCTAGTGTACACAATTGGCTTATGTGCACTATAAAGAACCCAGTACATCTTTTGAAACGAGTAGGGAGTTACCCCAGTGTACAGATCCATACAGCCCCTGTTATGGACAGACGAGAGTAGCTGGTACCAGATTACAGGACAGCTCGGACAGAGAGACCCTTAGGGGAAAAGAAAGTTACTGTATGAGTGCCCTAATCTCCATGAAATAGTGCTATATAAATGATGTTATGTATGTAATTAGCATAAGTGCCAGTATTGCATACTTTTAGTACAGCGAAGCAGTAGTACTTTTACACATAACTTTGGTAATAGTAAGCAGATTCCAGTAAATAACCACCATTTTAAAGCTTATAATGTGCAGAATATATTAAATTGATTTGGTGACTGTTTTTTGGCATAGCAAGTGTCATAGAAAGAAGTTTTGTTGATTAGTCTCAAGACCATTCAAGTATAACAAACAGAAGACATTATTTGACACTGAGAGTAATGATTAGTAAAAACAATTAAAACTAAATAGTAATAAAGTGGATATTATACCTCAAAACTTCTGTCAAATTGGAAATTACGATTAGAAATGAGTAAATGCTTCAGTTGTTTCAGTTTGGTTTCATACTCCTCAATTATCCTGCGATGCTGCCGTTCCATTGCTAACATTTGATTCTGGTAAGGATCTTTCACAGTAGTCAGACCGTCCTCATCAAGATGTCTACCAATTCGTAACATGCTCGGTGTGCTGCCATTGACACATGACCTATGACTATCTAAACTTCCCCCGTGACCGTTAAGTTCACACCGAGGACTGGCGTTTGGCGTTGAATACTCGGAAGCTGAACTAAGCAGGCTTGAGCCGGATAGGTTTCGTGCATGGCTTGTGTTACTGCCATTGTAAAATGACTTGCTAGTTTTAATAGACAGCGGCGGGTAAGATTTATAAAATATTTCGGATTTGCTATACATTTCTCTTTCATAATCTATAGTGCGATTTTTATCTATAGAGTCCAGTAATCCTATGGTTGAATCACTAATATCTGTGGTGCTTGTGCTTATAGTTGAGCTTTTAGATTTCAACAAGCCATTAGTACCCAAACTAATTTCATCAATATGCCCGTTTTTAAGTCCATTTTGTTCAGGCACCTGGTTATTAACTACCTCTTCAGTTAGAGTCTCTGTGGAACTTTCTAGATGGGCATCAAGTGAGGTCCTGAAGGCTTTGCCAGGAATCTTTGCACAATCCTTAGGAGATCCATCAAAACCAGCCATGCTGGTAGCAATACCATTTGCTATTCCATTAGGTACGTGGCCATTATGGTTTGTAGAATCAAAAGAATTATCAACCTCATCGTCATTTTTGTAAAATCCATTTGTTGTTATAACAGTGTTTGACAGCTGTTTAACACTTGGTTCACTTTCCGTGTCTTTCTTTGCAGCGTCTTCCTCAATACTGGTCTCTGCCATCATTTGTAACTCCAGGTTGTTGATGTTCTTGCGTAATGCTTCAGGGGAGATATCAGAACCTCTCCGGGGCGGTGACACCCCTATGCTCAATTCGGATCTGATGTCACTCAGATTGGGATCACTGGATGTTCGGTGAAGGTTTGATATCTCTTTAGAAGTCTCTTTCCCTTCCGATATCTCATTAACGGCTTTAGAGATATCATCACAAGATTTGGTTCTAGGTAATTGAGAGGCATCAGCCATCTGGACATCAGGTGCAGGACCGGTAGGAGTGATATCATCAGGACTTGTAGCTACAGAATCAGACATGTAAACATTGGCCCATAAATGAAGATTGCGAATATTACAAGCTGGAAAAAGCACCTAAAGAAAAGAAGAATAAGAGCATGAAGTCTTACATAGCTTGGATCATATTCTTTCGACCGTTTCAAACTATTTTCTATAATGATAATTGTCTTTACTGATTGAATTATTAAATTACTTTTTTTTTCAATACAAACTTAACTAGAAAATACTTTAAGACGATGGAAATTTGAAAAATGCACAACTACATTGAACAGTGAATTACCATGCAAATTAAACTCATTACCAAAGTGGTAGAAAAGCATTAATTTTTATGATAAATATGTTCTGAATATAGTGTAAATGTATCACATCTACAATAATAGAAAAAAAAAGAAAATAGGATTATCCACGTAGGAGAATTTATATTTATCTCATGATTAATAATTATGTGAAAACTGATTTTCCCCCACGTAATTTTATAAAAGGGCAAAAATACATTTGATTATCTGTACCTTATTGGTAACTTCTGGTGCATAGAGATAGTTCCTATACTTATGGCTTTCCACTTCCAGTATAGACCATACAGAGCAAGTTCGATCTTTGACGTCATTTTGTTCTCGTTCTTTAGAACTGTTACACAGGAATGTTCCAAAAAGGCAAGAAAATGTGTGCTTAACAAGCTTAACCTGTCAATTGAAGAGAAGAGAGTTTTATTTATAAATTATTCACGATAATCAATAGGATTAAAAACAAAATTATTAATGATCTATGATTATTACACGGATTATAGCGATATAACTCGTATGTACACAGGGACTTCAGATAGTAAAGATAAATTATGGATGATAATCTATACCATACAAATAAAAAATCAATCATTCTTCGAACTGCACATGAAGACAAATTTTAGATAATCAACGAGAATGAATAACATGAATTAAAGTACAAAATTAGCAAAACAAGTTACTCATGATCATGTAATGAAATAATACACTGCAAATAGATAGATAAAATATTGAGTGTCAATAAAATTGAATGGATTATGGCAAATTACATATGTTCCCATGTTATATGAAGTAATAAAATAAAATGGTTATGATGTGTATATAAATTTAATATGAATATGGATTTTATTACAAGCTAGATTGATCCCTGTAGAAGAGGGCTATGGGAGTGGTTAATGTATCACCAATTCAAATGCATGCATAAGAAAGTTTCAAGGGATTTGATTAATTTGAATCAGATTAACATCATTAAAGCTATTCATTATATCTCTTATAAAATGCTTTCTTTGCTAGATGACAAATCCAAATAAAACAATACAGGTTAGGATGTTTAAAAGAAACATTCAAGAATGAATATGGGATCAACATTAATGATGACATCAATTTCCGGGACCACTAACAAATAGGTATTATGGCCTTTATCCAGGAACCAATGCAAGCTGGTTATGGTGGGACCTTATGAAGATTCATACAGCACAGTAATATAAATTGTATGATTAAGTTTGAATATTATATCAGTTTGTGAAGAGTTATTAAATATGAGCTGCGTCTACATGGCATGGCAACCCATACCTGCTTTTTATACTTATTTTACTATTTATTCCCATTGGTTATTTTCTTAATAACTATATTAGATAGTGTAAAAAATTGTTGAATACAGCTTAAATCCAACAGTCAAATAAGACAATACAACAATATATATGTGCCTGGAAATATGCAGACTTAAGGACCTTGATAAATTACAGTAAGTAGCAAGTGATAGGGATTTATTGGTCAGTGGTGCATAGTCCCAGATGCATTAGAAGAGATCTCTTGAAAGTATTATATTAATTTAAGAGTATTAGAAATGAACAATCAATATAAAGTCATCATCAAGTTATATAAAAGATTCATCATTAAAACAACAAAATATGTACATGTATTTTGTAATTTAATTTGTTATTATTACATAGGTCATCTGAATTCATTAATTATTAAATAATTTTAAGCAATTTAATTTCTCCTGCTGAATATATATATATATACATGTTCTTATGTATTATAGAAAAAATTAGGCTTACCGCACACTTAACTAAAGATACACTCAGAGACAGATAAATTAAATAGCATAGAGATGAATTAACATGTCAATGAGCAATGTTTAGATAGATAGATAGATATAATAGATATATGGATGGATTGATGGATGAAGTAATAGGGTGGAAGGATAGATAGACGAATGTATGATGAACAGATAATATTTAATAAGATATGGCAATGTAGGTAAGAAATATGAGTATAGGTAAATATATGAATGGAAAGATGGTCAGAGACTGACAGTCAAATACAAATATTTACTACATTACAGATTAAATGACGGACTAATAAATAGATATAAACTCCTGACATTGTGTTGAATCACAAGATAAATATAATTTACCAAGAACGTCTCATTAAACTGAAAGGCTGTTGGGAATTGTTTAAGTATCTGATGTACACAGTCCAACCACTGGAGGAACACTGGACATCTCTCATTCGCATCATCATTCTGTTTAGCATGTCCACAACGATCAGCAAACTTGTGCCCAAAAGCTAGCCACTCCCTTTCCACTAAAACTTGGAAACCCTAAAGTGAAGAAATACATGGAAAGATGTTAATTATTGAGGAATACTTATTTTGGAATATAAAGTAGTCAAAATACACATAGAAAACTATAGTTCAAAATGGAGATCAGTGGCGGATCCAGGTAATCGAAATAGAGGGGACTTTCACAGATGAAGGGCCTAGACAACCTTATACCCATCATAGTTGGGGCTGAGATAAGAATATTTATGATTATGGCACCTCTAGACGGCAGGAAATGGCACATTTCAGACATAAATTTGAATATAATTTCCTTTTTTTCTCAATTTTGAATCCGTCACTGTAAATGTATGCCAAAATTTCAAAGCAATGTGTGAAATGTTGTTGACACTTTTTTACAAACTCGCACAACCATATGGCATGGGCACTGAATAGTTTCTACTGCGTACAATATGTATAAAATCTGCAAAATTGTTTACCTGAACAGTTCTATAATAAGGATCCAACAATAATTGCGAAAGAGCGGTCAGCTGTGGTGTTCGGTCCCAACCATCGGAACAATGTACGACCACCGGACGTTGCTCCTTATGTATAGCATTCACGATAATCATCGCAGAGCTCAAAAGCAACGACAAATGGTGCAACCACTTAGTATTCTCCAAGGACGACAACCAACTATGAATGGAATGTACAAAATGCAGTTTATTATATTATTTTATTAAATAAAATTAAATTGTCTAATATCAATTGTATTTTGCTATACCAATCATACTTCATACTTGATTAGCAGCAGTACACAGACTGTTATAATTGTAAATACATTTTTCTATGATGGTAGTAATGAAAACGATAATGACGACAATGATTATAATGAAAATGTTTATTGTTGAATTCTGTATGTTATACATTTTTCTACTTGTATCTTGAAATAGATATTTCTATGCCTACACCCTGCCTCTTTTTTGGTAGTTGGAGCTGGTTACTGTTTAACCTCAGCCTAAATGTTAGGGTTTCATTCTTTCAAATGAAAAAAGACTGTTGCCTTACTTAGGTTGATGTTCAGAGCTGGAGCACATGTGTCTAACCGAGTGAAATGTCTTGCGTACTGAATGAATGTTTGGTAGTCCCATAAATTGAATCTCACAACATGGGTAGTACTCTGTAAAATAAAGTCTAATGTTATTTTTTTTTTGATAAACATATAATCATACATTATAACAGAAAAGCAGTCAAGAAATATGTCAAGAGAATGACAGGAGTGAAGCAGTTTTTATAGAGATAATTTTTATAACATTGCAAACACTTTATATATCTATTATAGAAAAATAATAGAGCTTAGTATTAATTTACTATATTTGAAAACAACCAATTGGAATACTCTTAGCTAAGCAAGTATACATGATATACATGTGTTATAGAGGGCACCCTTTTATAATAGGCTAATGTTATCACCTGAGCATTCACAGCCTCCACCTTTGGCTCTGTTAGCAACTGCTGCAGCATAAGACCTTGCATCCAGCAGCAGCATGTTCTTCTTGTCCGAGCTGTAGCCTGCAGACTCTCTGCCTGGATCAATTGAGTCTGACAAGATTAAAGCATCACAGTGATGAGAGACAGTGGTCCTAGGTGAGTTTTTAATACTTGATAGATAAATTCCTTTATAGCAGCTGTTTGTTTAAAGCATGTAGGCACTACCAAGTCTTATGTTTTTCATTTGTTCATTTGTTTGTTAGGGTGGACAGAGCTTTACTGTGATTGGTTTGTATGAGAGATAGCCTCATATCCTAGTGTGGACAGAGCTTTACTGTGATTGGTTTGTATGAGAGAAGGCCTCACATCCTAGTGTGGACAGAGCTTTACTGTGATTGGTTTGTATGAGAGACAGCCTCACATTCTAGTGTGGACAGGGCTTTAATGTGATTGGTTTGTATGAGAGAAGGCCTCACATCCTAGTGTGGACAGAGCTTTACTGTGATAGGTTTGTATGAGAGATAGCCTTATATTCTAGTGTGGACAGAGCTTTACTGTGATTGGATTGTCTGAGAAACAGCCTCACATTCTTTTCCAATATAATGTAAATGAGTGATGGAGGTAAGTGTAGCTTTATATAACTGCTGGTCTTCCCTAGCTAAACCATCTATTGATAGTAATTATCATCAAAATAATCTGCAAGAAATAGGCCTACATACAAAAACTAAGATTCCACTGTTACCGAGCTCTTTCCACCAAACTTACCACTACTATCACCAGCTGCTATATCATTCTCCTTCATACTTGTCCCACCTCCACCATCATCCTCCATGCTCATGTGTCTAGAGCGCCTCCCACGGTCCGCTTTGCAAGCCTCCAGGATGGATAGTAGCATGTTCTCATCTTCAGTGTCTCTCCAGCCTAACCAACCCACCTCAGGCTGGCTACAGCGGACAATCACTGCACCATTCGACTTGTTTCTGTAATAAGGGATTGAATAATGAATATGGAGCCAAATGCAATTGTGATCATTTCATTTCATTTCTTTAGGCACGAGGGCCAAGGATATGCCAATAAGTGAACTTAATCACTGTCCTACGTGGCATATCCATTTAACAACAGGGGACTTAATGGACCAGTACACCGGGTTAACCCCCTACTCTTCTCAAATGATGTACCAGGTTCTTTAAAGTGCACACGAGCCAAATGCGTACACTGGGCCTACGGTTTAAAGTCCTTATCCGAGAAGACTTGTTCCACCACCAGAACCAATGGCGAGTGAGCTGTTCGAACCAGCCTCATTATTAGAGCTAAAGGTTACGGCGCCCCTGACTTAACTGCTCAGCCAATCAACTCGCCAGCGACAATGGGAGTTATTATGATGGTTTATTTTATACTTGTGGTGAAGATGAAGATCAAGCTGATGATTACGAAGATGATGACGATTATGGTGACAGCGATGATGACTTATAATACTGTTATTATAAAGATAATGAAGATGATGATGGTGATGGTTGTTGCAAAAAAATGCGTCTATTAGTAAAACTTAACTTACCTCCAAACGACAGAAGGAAACCGCTTATTGGATCTGAAATTGGCAACTGTCTTCAGCTGATCATTGGAAATGCAAGCTGGTATAAGATGTTTCTTGGGATAGGAGGAACATAACCTAGAAATGAGAAGTGAAGTGAAGTAGTATCATCCATGTAAAATGGTAACAAAATAAGGTCAGGAAACTACTTTAGGAAATAGCTTCATATTACTAACTATTAAGTTAATGGTAATGGATGGATGGATGATCCCTGGGAGATGCACTTGTTTTGACAGCTTACCCCACTAGTTAAGTTGTTAAAAAATATGAAATATTATTTTCAAAAAATAACATTTTAAAAAAATTCAGAAAAGGAAATGGCACCACATGCAGGTCTCTGAGATGGATATGTGCGCCTTATCTGATAACATATTTATTATAATAAGTAACAGTAAAATGACAGGCAGCATTTTGAAGGCTAACACAGCTACCCAACTATTTGATGATTATCACAAACAGAAATCTTAAATCAGTTATCAACTTCCAATAAGTCACAAACTGAAACTAGTCTGTTTTATAACATTTTACTTATGCAATTTGTTTAGATAATTACATTCTTTAGGATAGGATAGTTTATATTCTGCCAATTGTATATATTTACCAACATTTTGTATATGAAATTCTGGATGTAGTCTATATATTTCAAAAACTGTCTTTTATTTATGTATTTTCCCAATACAATCCATGAATGAAATGAATGTATTATAGGTCAGCAAATATTATTGGCTTTTCATATTTTATCCGTTTGTAATTTAAATATTTTCTATGTATGTTTCATAAGTTGGGTTTGACTAATAAATTCTGAATATATATATTTCTGATAGTGACACATCAAAGATGTTGATGAAAATAATTTCACTCAGAAATTAAATATTTATATATTCCACAGAAATATGCAAGAACATACAGAAGATATAATTGTAAATATAAAGAACTTCCTATTCACTTGAATGTCCTTCATTATTTCACTAATTGCAAATTTCTTCAGAAAACATAAATCTCTTAAGGAAATAGACTTGTATAGTGCCTTACAGATATACAAATCGTCTCAAAGCGCTTAAAGTATTTAGAAAAAAGAACATTATTATTATTCAAATCTCTATGGGGAAGGATGTTGTTATAATTAATGACACTTACGAGAAATCGCGATTCATATTGCATATTTTCCAGGTGTTTTGCAAATCAAACTCCATCCGCTCAGCCTCTGCATCCAATATAAATTGGGACCGATTCTCTGAAATCATAGAAACATAGCCATTAAAAATAACACTAAATATAATTGGTTCTATTAATCCTGGTTTTATCACAGTAATAAGTAATAATATATTTATAGAGCATTTTCAGATTTACGTCTGTTCAATGCACTCTACATAAAAAGATGATAAAATACAATATTAAAATAGGCAAAATTATACAATGAAATTACAAAATAATATATGGAAAAACTAGAAAAAAACCAATCATAGAACACAACTTTGGGTACATTAACAAGAACATACTCGAGCCAAAGAAAAATGATTTAAGGCTTAGTAAATCTCTTCGTGGTACAATGTAGTTAAATTTCAAATTGCATATTATATGGATATGAAGGAACATACATTCTACAATAAGTCACTTTATACTCTATTTATAAAAAATTTTGCATTGCAAAATAGTGAAGTGGTACTTTCACAGACAATCTCCTTTCAAACTGGAATACCACAATTAATTAATATTAGGTTAAAAATTGTAGAGTATAAGTTGATAGATATGGTTAGATGAATAAAACTGTTACTAGGAATATAGTATAAAATAATGATTTTTCTTGAATTTTAATGAATTCATTTGTATTTATTATCATTAAAACAATTTACATTACAACACATAATATGGCACTAAAATGCTTACTCTAAAAATTAGCCGGTAAAAAATTATAAAATACAACATTAAACTCAATATTATCATAAATACAAATTTAAATTCAGGTAGATTACACAGATGGGGAAAGCAATCAAGATTTGGAGACTTAAACATATTGCCATGTGTGTGTTGTTGCATCTAAACTGCATAGTTGCTTCTCCAGGAATTTTAATATCAGAAAAGTTCTATTGCATAAGAAAATCTGAAACTTATGCTTTTAAAATTACATTGTAACTATGTTTAGCACACATTGTATAGCCAGATGCTACAGTATGTACAGTAAAAAATATAAAGGGATTATTTCAAACACCCTTGGAAAACAATTTTTAAACACATATTTAGTTAGTGCTGGTGACTTTTGCATTACCTCATTGGAAAGTATTTGCCTATGGTAAGAAATTGAAAAAAAATCCTGTGACCTGTTTAAGTAAGCATTCCTAACTACTGGTTCACTTCTAACTAAATTTTTATATATTTTAAACCTTGAGTGTTATCTACTATTATTTTTTTTTTAAATCAGTAAAAATGAACACAAAACAAATTTTGTTTATTATCCTTCCAACAATTCTATCTTTATTTTACTTTAAAACATAAATGCTTTTCAACAATTAATATAAATGTAATCACAAGAGGTTCTGTTATCTACTATCTTTTGGAGTAAGATTTATACAATGTACAAGGATAGTGTTAAACAAAAATAACCTTTACCTTTTTGTTGTTGAAAGAATTTTAATCCAGGAGTAGGTAAATCGCTTTTACCTTCATCAAAACACCAAGCATGAAATGCAAACGCGAACAAGTCCTCCAACTTGGCTGGTGCTCGGATGGCTTTGGAAATACGATGAGCCCAAGTTCGACATTTATCAGTGGTTGAAAACTTGCACCTGAATTATAGAAAGAAGTTTTAAAAAAACTTAGTGGAAAAAAATCTGCAACAATATAGTACATGCAATTTTATTGTATATACATTGATTATTTTTTTGTGAATGACAGTTTTATTTTTAGACCGTGCACTAATTGCACCGTACAACGGTAGTACGTTGAATTTTACTCCGCTCTCCATAAGTACTAGACGACGTGATGCCGTCAGCTGATTTTCAGTGGCATTCTGAATGGATCATTATGGTGTTCGTAATGAGGTTGCCTTCAATATAGAATCGCCATCGGAAATAGTCAGAGCCCGGATTAACACAATCATGATATATCAACAACAGTAATAAAAAAAATTAATTTTTTTGAATGTTCGTTCAGATTAAAAATATATTCATTATTTACTTTTATGAAGCTGACACTTCTATGACACCGACAGTATGTCTACATCAAATGCTGTACACATAATTATTAATAACTACACAGTATGTGAAACTGATTTAACTGGCTAAAATTGTTTCTGATCAAATCTAAGATCAACAGGTTTTTACAAGAATTACTATTAATCTTCATATGTACTGAAACATGAAGGAAAAGTAGATACATGGCCAACATTATTTTCAAAGGAAATATTCATCATATGTTATTAATTTGTATTTACTGTTAAAAATAGAGTAAAGATACTGGATTCTACAAATACACAATGTAATTACTTTAGATCTACGAGCAATAAGTCAAGTTTTTACTGGTCGTTAAGAGACAAACTCTGCAGCTATTAAAAGAATTAATTTTGTTGCACTATGTTTATAGTATTCGTCATGGTAACAGATGTGTTATTTCTTTTTAGTTATCTATAATTTGCCATTCTAGCCCTTGCTCTTATTTAAAGGGACTTTTTGGACGGTATAATAATTATTATACACAACAATCAGCTTCATGTGT